GACCAGTCCTGGAGCATGATTTCATAACTGTATGAACTGAGTTCACATTTCACATTAGTTAGCTAATAATGTGACTTCCTGTAGGTTCTGCTTGACGACGATAAGAAGAAGTGACAATGAAAGCTTGATTGTCACAGCCCAGTTATCCTTGTTTTTAACTTTTCTTGTAAAACTTCAAAAATAACACTCAAAATGACTTGGAAGTCATGCTTTTACTCCACCGAGTGGCGAATTTCGATGACAAATTAAGTGGTGAATGGTTTACCTTATTTCAAGTTAGATGGAATGAACTCAGCTAGATAACTATAGAAAACCAGACAGTACTCTACCCTAGTTTGGGTCTGTTCAACAGAGCAGGGATCAAGGCGAAGACCTTCGGAGTATTGGGACAGAACCTAATGGCCCAAGAATTCTAACTTCTGTCAATTAATCGAATCCCTGTGAACCAACACCTGAACATTTATATAGTCTTACTAATTAAATTTAGAAATTTTATTCACCCACCTTAGTTGCCACTAATGCTGTAAATAATGCCCAAGACATGTTCAATGAAATGAGTTAGTAGTTACTGTTGGTCTAATCAAAAGACTTTCCCTAAGTCCAATTTCGTTCTCTACCGGTGGAGGTAGTTTACTTAGGGAAACATTGCGTTAAAAGCCAGCTGTAGAAATTCGTTAGACTTGATGACTATGACACGTGACTAGGCTAATACGTGAAAAGTGTGATTTCTGATGAAATAACAAAGAAGGATTCTCGAAAGACATAATTCAATTCTTACAATAAAATTCCGATTGTACACTTGGTCTCATTTTACTTAACTCGTTAGCGTTGAGTACAGCACTCAAGGTGTCGGTAAACTTCCACATATATTGCAGGAATCCTACTTAATTGAGATTTTAGCAACTCTTATGATGGTTCATCCCAATTATACGCGTAGTAAAATGCCAGACGGTGAATTGGTATATATAACCGAAGATATGAGACTAATCAGATCCACTCTAATGCTTATTATTATTGCCCTGGCTTCCGAGTGGAACATAGGGCTTCAACGGCACATCTCCGCTTTGTTCTCTTTTCTGCTGTCGTCTTCAGTTGGTTCCATGATCTCTCATCTCCTCTTCGCACGATCTCCTCCATGTGACGCTAGGACAACCGACTCATCACTTCCCATTTGGATTCCACTAGAGCTATTGCTTGGCGCGCAGTGTCATTCGGCGGCCTCCTCAACGAGTGCCCGTTCCATCTCCACTCTCGCCTACAGATTTGTCGAGCAATAGGCTGTTGGTTGGTTTCTTCCCAGCCAGAGTTTCTTGTTGGCAATTCTTTCTGGCCGGTCGGCCGGCCATTTCACCTTCAATATGGAGCCAGTAAATGGGGCGGTTGTTGATTAGAGTCTGCAATGAGCTGTTCAAAATCCTTTTCGTGCCATGCAGTGCAAGTTTCTGACCCGTATAGAAGAACTGACCGACTTCACATTAGTGTTGAACAGAATCCGAATCTTGTTCTTTATACCGCGAACTGCAGAAGATTTCCAGACTGGTTTCGGGTTGACGAAGGCGTAACATTGCTTTCCGATCCTGTTTGGCCTTGATATTTTCATCCGTTCCGACTGTCTGTGGTTGAAACGATGCTTCCTAAATAAGTGAAGGAGTTAATCTCTGTCAAATCTGTCGCGTTGATGGTGATTGGTGGTTGTTGTTGTTGCTGCTGCTGTTGGACGCGGTTATGTCCGATATAATTATGCGATATATTCTGTTTTATAAGTTTGCAAGTGTCTTGAATCGTGGTTGTATTAATAGAAGTGGATAATGTGAGAATGACGCCACCTTTACTCAACTACACGCATGCAGTGTCACTGATTGTCACTCACATGTGACATCAATCCGAACTGGAATATTGAAAGAACAGTAATTTGTTAATGGTCTGCCGAATCAAAATATTAAGAAAGGAGTTATTTACTGGATGATCTTCCTATTTAGCTCCTTCATCGTCACATTGATTGTAATTATGATAATATATTCTCATATTTTGTACATGAGGGACGCCAGTTTACATGCATCATCAGTATGGTAAATTACATATACGATTAGTAAACATATTTAATAATGATATAGTAAAATCCATATTTATTCCTACCCATGTAGGACACACCAATTTTACAGGCATGAATAAGTATTATTTAAATTGCATAGACTTGGTTTATGGTGAAATTACATGGTTGTTGCCTGTTTTTGTCTTTGGTTTGTGGGAACAATCTGTTAACTGGTCATTCAATGGAGCACATCAAGAAATATAGAAATATTGTCTTCGCACTAATGAAAGAAACCCAAGTATGTTTTGGATGGATTACAAATACTTGTAAAAAATATGGCTTGAAGTCAATCTCATCGACCGACAAATTGTCAAATGATCTGTGACAGAAGGTAAACTACGAAGATGGTGTTTCGATACATTCTACAAACCTGAAATTGTCGTCTGAGAAAATGACTCAATTTGGTTTAGAACAATCAAGCGTATTCAAAACAGAAATCATCATACATCAACTAAGCAGCTAAGCACTCAATGACAGATATTTCCCCGGGAACTGGTGAAAATGGATTCAGATAAAGAATCATTCACTTTTCTTCTTAATCATAGAGATAACAACGGCCACTTTCAGCCACTAACAGAACAAAAATTAATTCTTGACGAATTCAAAGTAAGTTATTACTCTAATTTCAATCATTCTAAAGATGATAGCTGTATTCAGGCGCAATTTTAAATACCTATTAAATGTCAGTAAATAAGTAACGTGCACTACCTTAAGACTGATTTGATCATAGACCAACAGGAGTAGAGGAACTAACTACTGAGGACCAAGGCACACTGAATACCTGTTTCCTCTAAGTTTAGGGCTTTTCAGTATTGTGCACCCGTCAATCCACGAGGGTATTCAGGCTGAGATTATCACCTTATTACTCAGAAGCTGGATAGGGGACTACATAACCAAGATGTTTTCAGTGCTCATCAATATGAGTACTGAGTGCACTGACATATCATGTCTTATTTCCATGATTGTTTATTGTGACACTATTAAAACGCGCGAGCACCTAGTGTTAATACTAGCAATCAAACGCATTCCTGGAGTTTCATACTCCGAATAAATTTAGATGCATACTTAGACAATGACCATAAGGGTGAATGCATTCAGGTTTATTCACGTACACTTACCACATTGCTTTTAAATTTATCAGCACAAAGTATATCAACAATTCGTTTAAATAAAATGTCCACAACTTCAATATTTTGGCTACAAATAGCCGTTAGGAGTGCCGTCTTTCCATCCAAATCCTTCAACTACGGGAAACAAAAGAAGCCATCTTCAAATCGACTAACAAATACAAAAATGGCACACTGCCAAACTTCTTTACCACTTCCGCTATTTCGGCAAAATTTCCATTTCAAAAATCAAATTCTTTATTTAGTAAAACACACTAACTTATAGAAAATCAACCAAGTTTTCCTATCTCCTGCATATCTATGCAGTAACTGTTCGCATCTGTAAGATGCATTTTGTCACTGGAACGAGCAGTGTACTTAAAATTTTGATTGTTTCCATAACAATTCAATATTTTGTGTTACACTTACGATATACCCAATCAAAAAAAAAAATAAGTTTTCTTCATTTTAAACAAGGGTAGATAAACTTGACCATAAAACACCTTTATTCGGGAAAATCTTTCAGATGTAACTGTATTGGCATTGTTGTTTAAGTCATTATTTTTACAGCTAAGTACATTCCACTGAAAGATGCTATTCAATGCAGTCACTGGCATATTTAAAGTTTCTATTTCCACTAATTTTGTGTTTTTATGTTGTTTTTTTATGGGAGCCATCACCTTATACAAGGCGACAATACCTAACAATGCGGGTTTCAAAAATTCACCTATTTTATAACTGAATCAAGTGTTTAAAAATTACACACTTCAAAGATACATGTTGTCCTGAGTTTCTGTGGAAACAGAAAGTGGATCAGAACACAACATACTGTGGTCTAACCAACACCATAGGTACCACCAACAGCACAGACAGGCGATCAGCTTGTTAAATACTATCGATTTTTATTAACAGTTGGTAGTCACTAGCTGTCATCAACTTCAAACAACTGAAAAACACTGTGTGGGATTCCACTCATTCAGTACCCGGTCTATCCAAAGAAGTTGTGAATTTATTCAAAAAGCTGACTCCTCCAAGCTATATGTATTTACGTAAACCACTTGAGAGTAATGAAGACACATGTAAGAAATTCTGTTTGAATATTAAACAGTTTGATATAATGTCTCATTTTAATTTCCTAATATTCTCAGGAAATGGCGATAATGTGTTTACAACACCTAGGTCTAGGTATCAAGGGCTACAGCTCTATGTGAGTGGCCTCCTGCTACTCATATCAGTCAGTATCATGAAACTATACAGCTTTACCTTTCTGAAAAATAAATGTCTTCTCAACAGTTCACAAAAGAAAACTCCCTACTTCTCTTCTTGTTTGTCCACGCAAGCTTCAATAATTTCTACTCATTTTTTTCTCCGTATGCATTTCTTAATTATAACATATCGAAATGGTGTAATTCTGTGTGAAGTTTTACTTCATTAGAGTTATCTATCGGACCTTCATTGTTTGATTCCGAAGTGAAGTGGAAGTCTTTCTTCCTGCACTTTGCTTTAGTAGTCATGATGTCAATCTTCCACTTGGGAAAATTACCCTAAACCACACAGAATATTACCTCACATTCAAAGCAGATATCTCAAGCAAAAGTACCTGAAAAAGACAGTTTTCTGAATATGAAATGCTTCTTGTGACCGTAAAACATCTCTTTCTAGAATTCTGAAAGTTCTATTTCCGGTTGAGGTGTGAACTACTGAATATTCTCAAACTAGGAAGTAACAGCTGTCTAATGCTTTCTGGTTTTCGAAGATTCTTACTTTCTGACAATATCTTCATTGAAACCACGGAAAGTAATTCATGATTTAAATGAACTCACCTCTGCATTTGCATTGTTTTCAATAAGTTGAAGTGTCGCCTCAGTATTGCCTCTTAAAGCTGTATAGTGCAGAGCAGTACGTCCAGTCTTATCCTTTTTATTTACCTTTACACCCATTTGAATAAGATGATCGATAATCTGGCTACTATCCACGCTACTTTCACTCCGTGACTCTGGTGAATCAGTGTATATTTGGCTATCTGTAGGTTTACTTTTTTCTTCGTTATTTTCAATGCTGGTAGATTCTGTTATTTCCATATCCATCTCTGGCTTAAAATAACACGACAATAAAAGGAACAAGCGCCGGATGAAACATCACAAATATCCCTTATATAGTTTTTATCTTACACAGTAAAACACCACTTCAAGGCTATGCGGACCAATTTTGTGAAATTACAGAGGTGGTAAACGGATTAATGCTAAACAGGTTGCAGTAACAGGCTTTAATTTTGTGAAACAATCATAGTGGTTACATCAAATCCAGCTAGAAATACGTTTGTGCAAAGTGAAATAAAATCACATTTGTCTGATGAACTAAACCAAATGATATTCTGAAATTTCTAGGTATAATAACCGCGTTTACATGACTGATAGTACTCATGATCTACTTTCTCTTCAAAGTCAATGGAAAGTATCTTAAGTTGAATATTACTGTGGAATTTATTAGTCTTCGTTACCACTAAACGTAGAAAGAAACTCCTTCTGGTGAGATGGTGTATTATTTGATGTATGGACATGGTTTATGGCTATTCTTGGTGCTAATTTTGTAGTTCGATGAATAGTTTAGGTAGAACGACACTCTAATTTCTCTGACTCATCTTATATGCAAGGCTTACTTTCTCAGTTTCAAACGATTATTTCTCATAGTTTCATGCTGGTTATGAATTTCTTACATTTTCACAGGGCTTTTATATCAAAATTATCGGATAGCTTTGGAGGTAAAATAAAAATGATAAACTTTAAGAACTGCCAACTACAAATTCGTTTCCAGCAACCTACACCTGTTGTTCTCATATGAGGCACCTAGAATGAGACAGAGAGGTCATCAGCATACTTGACAAAAGTTGCTACATCAGAATGGGGCAAGTCATGTAGGAAAAAAGTAAACAGAAAAGGAGAAAGAACAGCACCTTGAGGAACACCAGCTAAAGTGAGTGAGGTAGTGGAGGACTTTCCATTGTAGACAGTGTACTGCTTCCTATCAGAAAAATAGGAATACAACCACTTATTTATCCAGCTCTCAGTCTGTGTTGCAGCAAGCTTACTTAACAAGAGAGACCTAGGTACAGAGTCAAATGCAGATGTGTAATCAAGGAAGGCACACCGAACACATTTGGCTCCTAAATACATATTTTTCTAAATGTCACTTGCTTTTGATTTCAAGAAGTCGTTTAGTTGGGAGGAGAATGGTGCGTACTGGATGGGATGTCTGAACTCTCGTTAATATGTATTAGGATGCACTTCGGGGATTTTAGAAGCTTCGGGCAAGTAATTCATCCACCCTCATGTACACACAACGAGTTTTGATGTTTATTTCTCCTAATGTCTTGGCAATGCACCCGATGTTGTAGGTATCTGTTCTATTATCTCAGACATGATATGTGTCGTAGATAGAGCAGATAAGTTTGTGGTGAAAACTAGAAAACAAGATGCGATGTACAGCGTTATTGTGTCTTGCGAGTTTGGACTTTCCCGTTCGGCTTAATGTTATCGTTACCGAGTAGTTTCTCAACAAACACCAATATTATTCACTTGAGAAGTCTTAGTTTGACGGCAAGAAGTTCATTTGTTGTCAACTGAAGCTGTGAAGACTGATCTTTGGTGCGTCGTAACTTCTAATCACCTCACAAACCAGGTGTGTGTGAGAAAACAAAGCTGAGTATTTCTGTCGGTGTTGTAACTTCATAGTTTTTGGGGGTTAAGCTGCAAAGGGGAAACAGTAGTTTGAGTCTATAGTGAGCTTGTCTTAGCATTTGGATTAAATTCTCTGATCGTATGAAGGGATCAAACAAGTATTCGAGTTTCAAAAGATATCGTAGTTACTGTGAAAATACCTTTAGGTGAGCTGTCCACTACGAACGTGATTGTTATATCCCTGTTTCTCATTATAAATCAGAATATGTAAATAATACACAAGAACCTTCACTGCGCTCATTTGTCATGACTAACTGATGCAAATGGGAGATTACAATAAAATACAAGAGGAACTAAAGGAATTTGTGTTATGTTAGAAAGTGGTGAGAATGTATTGGCTTGATTGTGATAAGTAAATTGTGCTCGAGACGTCATCCAGCTTTTAAAATATGTCAATGTTTGTTATCAAATAAACTTATCTAACCTGGAATTCGTATAATCTCGTTTCCGAAACTCAAAGCAGACGATTTCGGAACTACTGGTAATAGTGTTCTTTTAGGAAATTTGAGGTAAGAAGCTAACTCTAAATTTGATAACCAAATCAGTTTTGTTGCGCTCACCAAAAGTATCAGATTATAAGATCTAACTTTAAAATCCAAGCAATTGTATATGAAATAAGTATTTTACACCATAAACAGACTGAAGTTTTCGATGAGACACACCGTCAATATACCTATGCATAATGGTACTCACGTATAAAAGTGATTATTAACACGTAGACTCGTCACTCACGAGTGTCAGTAGGAAAGTGTGTGCATTCTTATGTACACATATTTCCACATGTATGTGCATAAACAAAACATGAAAATGTTTAACATACTTATATTTCAGGATAAAGATGAATAATGCGTATACATACATTTATGTGCATCCCCAAAACTGCATGCATACTCCCACATAGATGGCATAAATAACTATACCGATTGTATTTCGTTAGTAAAGGAAATGGATGGGGACTGAGTTTCGAAGTCAATACGATGAATGTGAGTAGAACTGAGTGTAACTCACTGTTACAACTGAATGACTGACGTATCAACGTATGACGATGCACAGAAGTACGTCCTGTCCAATTCACCACACTGCGGGAAAGCACAAAAAAGGTAGGGAGATTGAGTGAGGGAAGGGTGTAATAAACATGCAATGCAGTAAGATGTAGAGGAGAGGGAAAATTTAGGTGAAGATTACCGGGGTTTGGGTAAGAATGAATGAATAAGTGTGCGGGACTGTGAATGGCTTTTGGCTGACATTTCCTGTTGAGGAAGGCGGTGGTTGGATATGCACAACATATTTACCAGCAATCTCAACCTATGGAGCTTAAAAACCTAATAGCTTGACTTTCTATTCTTGAGTAACTCACTGTTACTGTGCTTATTGCTACACTCAAGACGAGTTGTTGGGTGGAGGTGCTCATGTTCGAAATCCCAAATTCAACGACCATGTCTCATAGGTATAAAGTGGGACTAGGTGAAATGTTGCAGGCCATTTATATCCTTTAGTGGACAAAGGCATATCACGACGGCAGCAAAGATGATGCAAGTCGGTAAGTGCCACACAAGCTTTTTCTGTCAAGCTGAGGTTTCATTAGCAACCAGTGCATCAGGGCTGATGCAACTTCCCAAGTCTGTGATATGGTCAACATATTCAACCATTACATCCCGTGTCCTAAAGCTGGGTGTCATCACAGACCAGTCCTGGAGCATGATTTCATAACTGTATGAACTGAGTTCACATTTCACATTAGTTAGCTAATAATGTGACTTCCTGTAGGTTCTGCTTGACGACGATAAGAAGAAGTGACAATGAAAGCTTGATTGTCACAGCCCAGTTATCCTTGTTTTTAACTTTTCTTGTAAAACTTCAAAAATAACACTCAAAATGACTTGGAAGTCATGCTTTTACTCCACCGAGTGGCGAATTTCGATGACAAATTAAGTGGTGAAGTTTTTTATTTTTATTTATTTTATTTTATTTCAAGTTTTATTTCAAGTTAGATGGAATGAACTCAGCTAGATAACTATAGAAAACCAGACAGTACTCTACCCTAGTTTGGGTCTGTTCAACAGAGCAGGGATCAAGGCGAAGACCTTCGGAGTATTGGGACAGAACCTAATGGCCCAAGAATTCTAACTTCTGTCAATTAATCGAATCCCTGTGAACCAACACCTGAACATTTATATAGTCTTACTAATTAAATTTAGAAATTTTATTCACCCACCTTAGTTGCCACTAATGCTGTAAATAATGCCCAAGACATGTTCAATGAAATGAGTTAGTAGTTACTGTTGGTCTAATCAAAAGACTTTCCCTAAGTCCAATTTCGTTCTCTACCGGTGGAGGTAGTTTACTTAGGGAAACATTGCGTTAAAAGCCAGCTGTAGAAATTCGTTAGACTTGATGACTATGACACGTGACTAGGCTAATACGTGAAAAGTGTGATTTCTGATGAAATAACAAAGAAGGATTCTCGAAAGACATAATTCAATTCTTACAATAAAATTCCGATTGTACACTTGGTCTCATTTTACTTAACTCGTTAGCGTTGAGTACAGCACTCAAGGTGTCGGTAAACTTCCACATATATTGCAGGAATCCTACTTAATTGAGATTTTAGCAACTCTTATGATGGTTCATCCCAATTATACGCGTAGTAAAATGCCAGACGGTGAATTGGTATATATAACCGAAGATATGAGACTAATCAGATCCACTCTAATGCTTATTATTATTGCCCTGGCTTCCGAGTGGAACATAGGGCTTCAACGGCACATCTCCGCTTTGTTCTCTTTTCTGCTGTCGTCTTCAGTTGGTTCCATGATCTCTCATCTCCTCTTCGCACGATCTCCTCCATGTGACGCTAGGACAACCGACTCATCACTTCCCATTTGGATTCCACTAGAGCTATTGCTTGGCGCGCAGTGTCATTCGGCGGCCTCCTCAACGAGTGCCCGTTCCATCTCCACTCTCGCCTACAGATTTGTCGAGCAATAGGCTGTTGGTTGGTTTCTTCCCAGCCAGAGTTTCTTGTTGGCAATTCTTTCTGGCCGGTCGGCCGGCCATTTCACCTTCAATATGGAGCCAGTAAATGGGGCGGTTGTTGATTAGAGTCTGCAATGAGCTGTTCAAAATCCTTTTCGTGCCATGCAGTGCAAGTTTCTGACCCGTATAGAAGAACTGACCGACTTCACATTAGTGTTGAACAGAATCCGAATCTTGTTCTTTATACCGCGAACTGCAGAAGATTTCCAGACTGGTTTCGGGTTGACGAAGGCGTAACATTGCTTTCCGATCCTGTTTGGCCTTGATATTTTCATCCGTTCCGACTGTCTGTGGTTGAAACGATGCTTCCTAAA